TTCAAGCAATCAAACAATTTCTTGCAATACTATAGTAATTATTGTGACGAATTGGACAAGAATTACTAGCAAAAATATCAAGAACGAGTCACATTGTTCTTCACGACCTTAAGAGGTCCAACAATGGCAAATTGCTCATTTCTTCACCAAATTGAGTCAAACAAGTCTCAAATTACTAACAAGGCAGTATATAAACATAATCAAGAAATTTCATGGCATAAAACTTGATAAACAAAGCAAATTGAGCATTATAAGTTTCGAATTTTCATGAAATTTGTGAATGAACATGCCAAAAATTTCATAAAAACCGATGTGAGTTTGAAGAAAACTTACATAGATCAGGAAAATAGATGAAAAGAGCTTTGATTTGCAACAAATTTGAGCAAATTCAGTTGAGAAACGAGCAAGAACCAAGCAATTGAAGTTTTTGGACTTTTTTCGAGCAAAATCGCGATGAACAAAGCAGCAAATGAAGAGGAAAGGGGTATTTAAGGAAATCCTCGTGCTGGCGCCAAGACCTATGCATTGGCTTCACAAATTTGGCTCTGGCGCTAATGGCTTTTCAGCGGCGCCAGATCACCCAGCCCCTGGTGGGGTTGATCTACCTTTCTGCAACATATTGTTTGGGTTCCTTGGTACGCCAGTTAGCCCCTCTAAGAAATTTGACATAATTTAGTAATCGGCTTGATTATGTAAAGTGATTGACCTGATGAAAGATCGTCTCACTTAGCTTAAAGCGCCTAAGCATTGGCTCATTAGCAAAAAGCACCGACATATAGGTTCAAAAGCAAAAGGCACCGACATACAGGTTCAAAGCAGCAGAAGCACCGACGTACAGGTTCAAAGCAACGGAAGCGCCGACGTACAGGCATAGCGTAAGCAAAGTTCAGGCGAACTTTTTAAAGATCGACAGGCGTGGATCTTCGGTGATTTCCTTTGGAAAATTATCGCATCAAATGAGGATGACTTCAAGAGAAGATATCTTCGACAGCATTCCCTAGCTTGCGGAGAGTTGTCACAAACAACTGGAGGTAATTTTGAGTGAAGTTATCTTCGATCATATTCTCTCAGGCATGGAAGATGGTCATAATGCGGATGAGGATTATTTCAAGAGAAATAATCTTCAATAGTATTCCCTTGGATGTGGAATATTGTCAATGCGGATGAGGATTGTTTCAAGAGAAATAATCTTCGATAGTATTCCCTTGGACGCGAAATATTATCATTGCAGGGGAGGATCGTTTCAGGAGAAGCAATCTTCCAAAATTGGAAGCAGTTACGGGCGTAGCGGTTTTCAAGCGGGATGGCATTCTCTAGCTTGTAGAGGTCATCAAAACAATTTGGTTACTTTCAGAGACGTGTGCTCGACGGTGCAAAATACGCGTTTCTTAACTCTCTTATATGTTTTAACTAACGCTAGTTTGCAAGTATCGGCGTTACAAGAGTGATTTAGGATCGCATAATGTTCTGAATCATTCTCCGTCCCTATCGATACTTTGACTTTTGTTTTCGAAACTTGCGTTTCTCAAAACTCAGTCAAAGTGGGGGCTTCTGTAGACACCCATTTGTGTCTCCCCAAAACCAAACCCGGTGATGAGTACCTTTCACGTCAAATCATAATCGAATGAAGCGAAAGTGTGGAAAGTCTAGTGTTGCGGAAAGTTTTATTTTCTTTTCTCTTCTCTTTGTTTTTAAAAACTTATTTTAATAAAACAGCCAATCCAGTTTTGTTGGTCCATGATATGGGTCCAATAATAGTGTAGTTGGATGAGGCTTGCAAAGACCTTTCCAACGATATATTATAAGCCCAATTCCGATGACTATTGAGGAAGTTATGGCCAATTTACCAAACTAGGCCCGGTTTGAGCTTTATATACGGCCCAATGATCTAGGGGAGGGCCAAATATGATTTTTCATTCCTAATGTAATTAGGAATGGTTTTGGTCTTCTAGAATCTTCTAGAAGGTTTTTGTCATTCCTAATTCAATTAGCATTGATAAATTAAATTTTGACTTTTCAAAGTTTTAATTAAAATCAAATAGCATTTTCGAGGAAATTATATGATTTTATCCTCCAGTACGGCAAACTTATCTGATTTTCGAAAACGCGTTAAATTTAAGCTTGGCGCCTGGCGCTAGCCATTGGCGCCTGCCGCTAGTGTTGGTGCTTGGCGCCAGTTAGCCAAGGGTGGCGCCAACTCTGTTTTCTGTGCGTCAGACTCTGTTTTGTTTAATTTATCTTTTTGGCTGATTTTCTCTATAAATATCGTATTAAAAACTCCGTTTTCATGAATCAAGGTTCACCAATTCTCCTCATTCACAAGTTTTCATTAGCATTCTTTAATTCATTCTTTAATTCATTCATCTCTCTCTCTCTCTTTCTCTCTTCTAAAATTGCTTTTTCACATACAAAATTCTGCATTCACAAGATCTAGAAACACCTAGCCATATTCGAAGTTGCCTTTTCCATAGACGTGAAAGGTTTTAATTTCTGAGGGTTTAGTCCCAAATCTAGTCTAAATTTTCTTAATCTCTCTTTCAATTATTTAATTTAATTGTTTGTTTATTATTTTCCTTGAAGTTACTAACGTGTGTATTTTGTTATTAGAAAGAGGTACGAGGCATCAAAGTAAGTACTTTAATTGATTAATTGATATTATGATGTAGAAATCATGTTTACATTGTTACTATGATATTCCTAGTATCATGTCTAGGGTAATATTAAATATGATTCATGCGATGCTTCCTATGTTCTTCCTAATATTTATGATTGTTAGTATCATGTTAGGGTTAAAGTTTTGATTTTTATTGCTTAGTGACATGCTAGGGTTTGTAATTAATCTTGTTAGTATCATGCCTAGGATCTTGCTATTTTTATTATGCTTTAATATTAACATGAACATGATTATGATTATAATTGTTATAACTTATGAATATTATGAATATTATTATTAATATGATGATTATTTTATTTTATGATTATTATTATGATTATTTCAATTATAATTTATTTTTATGATGATGATGTTTATTATGTTTCTTGATATTTATTTTTTTATTGCTTAATCACCTTCTATGCATGTTTAAAGGGAATTGGTACTTGTATTCACGCTTAATAAGATATTTAATAATCTTGTTAGGGTTAATATGATTATAATTCAAGTGATCGCCAATAATAGTTTGTTTGTGCATTAATGTTCAACCAACATAGATAAACAGGGTTAGGGTTAAACCTATTGATTGCATGTTAGTCAGAAAGCGCACATGAATACGATCAGAATAAAGTAGAGGCCTATTATTAGGGCAGGTTCAATCTCTTTTAGGTTGGATTTGTACCTTCATCCCCGAACCCTTATTTGGTTCTAGACCTTATGGAGTTGACGATCTCTTGGATAGTTAAGGGGTGTAACCTTCATCCTATGAACGGTTTACAAGTTCCTAAAAAACTTGTTGGCGACTCGTTTTCTCTATCTTCTTCCCTTTTGGACGCCACCGTACTTTAGTGTATGATCACAGTGGGGTTCAAGCTAGAGGGGTTAACGCTTGAAATTATTCCCTACAACATGATTATGATTATAATTGTTATAATTTATGATGATTATGAATATTATTATTGTATAGGATAGCTCCCGCTGAACTATCGCCCAGCCCCCAGGGTGCGCACTCACCGCTGAATAAGCGACTAAAGGAGGGCTCGTCAGCCCGGCAGAGTCAGCCCGCAGGGCAAACCAGGCTAAACTGTCCACGAAGGAGATAATACGCCTATAAATAGAGGGTAAAGTACAACGGAAAATAGGTTAGACACTCAAATTATTACACTTTCTATATCCCTCTAAGTACACTTTCTCTCTCTAAACACTCTCTGACTTAAGCTTCGGAGGGGGGTTCCTCGAGCCACCCTCGAGGGAAGTTTACGTGTGCTGGCGTGTGTAGGTTGTTGACGGGACCCAACTTACCCTTGGATCCATACTTGGAATAATTGGCACTAGAAAGAAGGGATCTACATCACCTAACATGAGCTTCACCAACTGAGCTACGGACTATTTATCTTACCACCATGGCCGGAGAAGAAACTGTGCAAACACCCACATCTAAAGCTAATGAGACCAACCAAACACCACAAAAAGCACCCCTAGTAACTAACGATCTAAAAGGATCCACCGGAAACCCCAAATCGACCATCTCACAGAAAGCGAACCATGTCGGATCAATGTCAGCTACTGCTAAAGCAGTGGCGAAACTAGTAGATCCGGTAGGATCCAGCTCTATTTTCAGGTACGGAATGTCGTTAACTGATGCGAACAATGAACTTATTGTTTCAGCACCTGTAACCCAGAAACCGCAGCCCGTGAATATGCCAGCCATTCTGCAGAACCTCTCTAAGTGCAGTAAGGAGCAATTGGCTGCAATGACGGCGGTCCTTACCAACATGGGTAAGGGAGCCGGTCCATCATCGGCAACGGCAGCTGTGCAGCCCGCAGTAAAAAAGCCGGAGGCCTCGACTCTCACCCCTGAGCAGAAGGAGCTCATTCAATTGAGAAAGAAAATATTGGAGCTGGAGGCTCGCAACCTGAATCGAGAATGGAGCGTGGAGGAAATAACCCCCACTCAGATCATCCCGAAGAAGCGGGTCCCGCGTAGCTGGTCACCGGCCGCAGAGCGGGGACTCAGCCCGGAGAGAGACAAACGAGCGCGAATCTAGGTTGTTCCAGATGATTCCCCATTTTGCCGGGAGATTCTGGAGGAACCCATGGAGAAGGTGAAGATGCCGAGCTGCAAATACAATGGGACTACAACACCCAAAAGCCATATATCAGCTTTCGAGAATCATATGGTACTCTACACCATGACAGACTCAGTCTGGTGTAAGGCTTTCCCACCAGTCTGGAGGGGCTGGCAGCGGAATGGTATGGCGCCATCCCTAAATGTTCTGTATACTCGTACAACCAGCTGAAGAGGATGTTCATGGAGCACTTCATAACCCTGGTGGACAGGACCAAGATGACAACCGAGCTGATGTCCTTGGTTCAAGGAAAAGACGAGCCCCTGAGGGATTTTATTAGCAGATTCAACAAAGAGGCAACAACCATTCCAAACATGAGCCAGGAGGTAGCACTGTTGGCAATGCAAAGCGGTCTACTGCCAGGGTCACCCTTTAGAGCGTATATGGGGCGTAATAACCTCAAATTGCTCGCGGAAGCGCTGGGTAAAGCGCACGAGTTCATCAAGGCAGGTGAGACTGACAGGGAAATGCAGGGGAGGAAAGCAGCAGGAGACCCAGTAAGGCGAGCCGAGGTCACCTGGGCAGAGAACGCGCCCAGGGCGGACCAGCCAAGCAGGGGAGAGCAAATCCGCAGAGAAGCGGACAGAGTCGTAGGGCTGAGAAGATCCGATCCGCGGAGAAGGCCAAGGCCTGGGAAGTTTGATCAATACACCCCACTGACCCATTCAAGATCTCACATATTCAGCGTGAACATAGCTGATGATAAGTGGCAGAGGCCCCCAAGGATGATAAACAGAAGCCGTGATATCAGTAAGTGGTGTGACTTCCATAGGGACCATGGCCACACCACTGAGGAGTGCACACACTTGAAGGACAACATAGAGGACTTAATCAGGAGAGGATACCTGACCCAATTTAAGCAGCGTGATGATCCTCCCAAAAGGAGGGAGGAGGATAGAGCGGGCCGAGCTGACCGCAGAGGAGGTCATAGGGGTCTAGCAGGAGACTGGGACAGAGATAGCAAGCCAGAGAGCAGGGTGTATGTGATCAGTGGAGGACCAGTACATGGGGGGACAGTCAACAGAGCGCGGGCTGACCTAAGGGCAATGATACATCAGATTAATGACAATGACAAGTGTAGATGGCCACCCCTTCCCCCACAGCCACGAGCCATGTTTGATGAGTATGACCAGAAGGGCATAATTTACCCTCATGACGACCCGCTGGTGGTAACAATGAGAATTGCAAACTGGGAGGTGGATAGAATACTGATAAACGGAGGCAGCTCATCCAACATCATCTACATCAATGCATTCAACGAGCTGAAGTTGGACAGAAAGGATCTAAAGAGAGTAAACTACGAGGTCACCGGGTTTAATGGCTCGGGGCTTACCCTAGAGGGCATAATCGAGCTCTCAGTCCGGGTAGGAGAGAGGTCAAGAAGGCGTGATGTCCGAGCAGAATTTCTCGTGATAAACTCTCCCTCACCCTACAATGTAATCATGGGAAGACCGCTCATCCACAAGATAGGCGAGGTGGTATCCACTTACCACCTGACGATGGCTTACACAACCAATGAGGGGCGATCAGCAAAGCTCAGGGGAAGTCAGAAGACATCCCAACAATGTTATATAACTGCCTTGAAGCAGCCCGCCAAAACCAGACAGCAGTCAGGTTCTGACAGAAGACTCCCTGAGCAGCTTGAGAGGAAGTCAAGGAAGAGAAAGCGTGAAGAGTATCACAGGGAGAAGGATAAAAAAAAATTTGGCAATGGAAAACTTCGAGCCTGCAAAAGAAGAAGTGGCCAGACCACTTCCCAACGGGGAGCATGTCACGGTCGAGCTCACAGAAGGTGACCCCTCGAGAGCAGTGAAAATTGGAAAAGACATTAATCCAGGAGTGGGGGTCCACCTCATAGAGCTGCTAAGAAAGAATAAAGACATTTTTGCATTTTCTACAGATGAGATGCCCGGAATTGATCTAGCGGTCATGGTACATAGGCTGAATGTGAAGGAGGACATTAGGCCAGTCAAGCAGAAAAAGCGAAGCTTCTCCACGGAGAAAAACCAGGCAATCCAGGAAGAGGTGGAAAAACTCTTGGAAGCAGGATTTATCGAACCCTGTGACTATCCAGAATGGTTAGCCTACGTGGTCATGGTGAAGAAGGCAAATGGTCAATGGAGAATGTGTGTCGATTTAACAGACCTTAACAAGGCCTGCCCGAAGGACTGTTACCCATTGCCACGAATAGATCAACTGGTAGACTCAACGAGCGGGCACGCCCTGCTAAGCTTTATGGACGCCTTCTCAAGATACCACCAGATCAGCCTGCACGAGCCAGACAGGCAGAAAACTGCATTCATCACTGAAGGGGGAGTATACAATTACATAGCTATGCCCTTCGGGCTGAATAATGCGGGGGTAACTTTCCAGAAGGCAATGGATAGAATGTTCCTCCACCAAAAAGGACGAAATGTAGAAGTATACGTTGACGACTCAATTGTCAAGAGCGTCACGCAGGCTGGACATATCATGGATTTAGAGGAAACATTCGCTACCTTGAACAAGTATAAGATCAAGCTCAACTCGAAGAAATGCGTCTTTGGAGTGAGCTCGGGAAAGTTCTTGGGTTTTTTGATCAGCGAGAGAGGAATAGATGCCAACCCGGAAAAGATCAAAGCAGTTCTCAACCTGCCCGAGCCTAAGAGCATTAAGGATGTCATGAGGTTGACGGGCAGAATGGCCGCACTGACCAGGTTCATCAGTAAGTCAGCAAACAAAGCCTTACCATTCTATCAGCTATTGAAAGGAAATAGGGAATTCAAGTGGGGAGCCAAGGAGAAAGAAGCCTTTGAGGGCATCAAGGAGCATCTGACTAAGCTCCCGACAATGATCAGCCCGGAGCTGAGGGAAAAGCTGCAGTTATACATCTCAGCATCAATACAAACAATTGCAGTCGTTCTGCTGGTAGAAAGACAGAAACATCAAAGGCCAATATATTTTGTGAGTCATGTGCTGACTGACGCAGAGCAAAGATATCCCCTGGTAGAAAAGATAGCATTCGCAGTGGTCACGACAGCAAGAAAGCTAAAACCATACTTCGACGCGCATATAATAGAGGTCCTCACAAACACCCGCTGGAAAAAGCATTACAACAGATGGATGCATCAGGCAGACTCTTGAAATGGGCAATTGAACTTTCCGAGTATGAATTCGAGGTCAAGCCTAGAGTAGCCATCAAGGCACAAGCTCTAGCAGACTTCATAGTAGAAGCCTCTTATGAGGAAAAGGAAGACGACATTGGAGTCTGGAAGGTGGAAGTGGATGGGTCCTCAGCCCAAACGGGGAGTGGAGCAGGAGTCATAATGACGTCTCCAGAAGGAAACGTATTCGAGTATGCCATCAAGTTCAAGTTCAAAGCGTCTAACAATGAAGCAGAGTACGAGGCGACGCTAGCAGGCTTGCGGATGAGCCTCGCAGCCGGAGCTCGCAAATTACACCTGCAGACTGACTCTCAGCTCGTTGCCAGCCAGCTACAGGGGGCATAAGAGATAAGGGAAGCCACTATGATGAAATATGTGACCAAAGTGAAGGAACTGGCAGCCCAGCTAGTCCATTTCCAGATAGACTTAGTCCCCCGAGCAGGAAACTCTCAGGCTGATGCCTTATCTAAGTTGGCCAGCTCCACCTTGCAAAGCCTCACAAGAACATTGATGGTCGAAGTGTTAGAAGAAAGTAGCATTTCCGAAAAGGAGCAGGTAAACTGCATTGGGAGTCAGAGAGCCTGGTTCTCTGACATCTTGGCATACAAGCTTCATGGCTCGCTGCCCGATGAGGAAGTACCGGCTAAAAAGGTGAAGAAAGATGCAAATTGGTATGTGATGATGAATGGAGAGCTCAACAAGAAAGGCTTTTCAAAGCCACTGCTGCGGTGCATCCCAGAATGGGAGCAAGAGGGTATCATGGAAGAAGCCCACTCCGGGATATGTGCCAATCACATTGGCGGGAAAGCATTGGGAGTGGAGGTCCTTAAAAGAGGGGCATATTGGCCAACTCTCACACAGGACACACTGGCGTACGTTAAAAAATGCGACAAGTGTCAGAAATATTCACCAGTCATAAATCAGCCAGCAAACGATCTGACTCCGATTCTCAGCCCGATCCCGTTCACTTAGTGGGGAATGGACATATTAGGACCCTTCACCACTAGGTTGGCGGGCAGGAAGTATCTTATTGTGGCAGTTGATTACTTTACGAAGTGGATAGAGGCTGAGCCCACCAAACACATAAAGGAAACCCAGGTCAGAACATTTATATGGAAGAACATCATCACCAGATTCGGGGTGCCACAGTGCATAGTCTTCGATCATGGGTGTCAATTCGACTGCGACACCATAAAGGATTACTTGGAAGACATGGGCACCAAGTATGCAAGTGCCTCAGTCTACCACCCGCAGAGCAACGGCCAAGCAGAAGCAGCAAACAAGCTGATCCTGACAGCCCTACAGAAAAAGTTGGAAGAATACAAAGGTCTATGGGCAGACTTAGTCCCAGAAATCTTGTGGGCAAATAGGACCACAAAGAAGGAGGCAACTGGTAAAAGCCCCTTCACTTTGACCTACGGGGTCGATACAGTTATCCCTGTGGAAGTACAAATACCCAGCCTGAGGATACAGCACTATGAGCAGCAGGGGAATGAAAAGCGCATGCTGGAGGAGCTAGATTTCCTGCCGGAAGTAAGACTAAAAGCGGCTCTCAAAAGCTTTCAACAAGAGGGTCAAGCACATGGAGCTCCTGCCTGGAGACCTAATCCTCAGGAGGACAACAGCAGTTGGAAGAGAAAATCAGCATGGAAAGCTGTCAGCAAACTGGGAAGACCCTTTCATCATCCATGAGCAGGTTGGGCCTGGAGCGTTCCTCCTTGCAGATCAAGAAGGTCAGGTCTTAAGAAACAGTTTCAATGCTAATGTGTTAAAGAAATACTTTGTTTAATTAGCTCGAAATTTAGCTGCTTTAATCTTAATGCACTTTTACTCAGTCTATGTCATGTTAACTAAGGCATTTAAGCCATTTCTATTCAATGAAATACAAGCCTCTGCGTGAGGAGTATGTTTTATAAATCTGTTTAATATAGTATGCCCAAGCATCATATAACATGCAGAAGTTAAACAAGAATAATAGTAAAGTGTTAGACGCAAGAAGCACCCTAACACAAAATAACAACACAAAGGCATCCCTCCTTAAAACCTCACCTCACTTGCAAAAAGCAAAACATGGTACTTCCTCGGGGACGCCTGAGGAGGAGCCTGACACGTTCAGCTTGAGCAGGGGAGAGAGGAGGAAAAGAAGAGACGAGCTACATGGGCAACACTAAGGTCCTCTTAGTCCCATTTAGCACATCTCTTCGAGGAGGAGAGAGTAGGAGAGAACAGCCAAGCAATAAGCCCTTATAAATAAAAAAAAAGAAAAGAGTAAGCAGGCAGCGTAAACAAGCTGATTGACATAAATAAGTCTCAGCACGAACAAGGTGATTGACATAAATAAGTCTCAGCACGAACAAGCTAATTAACATAAATAAGTCTCAGCATGAAAAAGCTGATTGACATAAATGAGTCTCAGCACGGATAAGCTGATTGGCATAAGTAAGCCTCAGCACAAATAAGCTGAATGACATAAACAAGTCTCAGCATAAGCAAGCCGCAGCATATGCAAGCTGACTGACATAGATAATTCGCAGCAAAACAAGCCGGTGACACAGGCAAAATAGATAAAAAAAAAAAAGTTGACCGACACAAACAAGTCCCAGCAAGAGTAAGCCAAACAACGCTAAACTAAGTGTACCAACCAGCACGCAGACGAAACCGTTGGCCAAAGCCAAATGAAGTATGCAATGCACAAACACTTGAAGCAAGCGGAAAAGGGAGGATAAAATATAACAAAACCCCTGCTGAAACGCAGCGGAACGCAAAAGGAACAAGAAAGCGCTAAACAACCAAATCGAAAGGATAGGGAGCCCCAACCTACGAGGCCCCACCAAATATAGCAAAAATGCTACAACGAGGCCTCGATACTGCTAAGAGATATTAGATTATGGGCAAATGTGCAAACAGGGAAATAAGTAACAAAACAAGGCAGCAGGAGAAAACCATAAAGAGAATACATTATAAGGCTGAACTCGTGCCCACCAAGGCAGAGTAAACATTCAGCAAGTCAGATACAAGGCAAATAAAGCTGAGACCTCGTCCACCAAGATAAGGAAACACTCAGCAAACAAAGTTGGTAAATCACAAACTCAGGTTAAGCTGGGGAGACCCAGCAACAAAAGACAAAGTATTCTGAAAATACACAGAGAAATATAAATCTTTGGCAGCTATACACCCCAAAGATAGTAACAAAAATACCTAGTTACAACAGATCTGGGTGAAGGAAACTCAGAGGAACCACTGGAGTAGGAGGGTGACAGCCGCCATAACCTTTATTGATCATCGGTCAAAGACTCCACTCCAATAGCTGCAGCAACGTCAGGACAGAGAGGCACCTCTAAGTTCAGCACAGCCTGATTGGGAATATTGCAGCCCTCAGCGCAAGGGTGATCAGCAAGGAGATCGAACAAACCAGCTTCACCTGCAGCTTCAACCTTGGCCCAAAAGGCGTTAAAGCGAGCCTGCTGCTCTTCACCCTCACCATACAAACTGCTAAGGCATCGAGCCGCAGCTTCCTACCCTCCATCATTGCGATCAGCAAGGAGTTTGGCAAAAGCGAGAGAAAGCGCAAAAGACTTGAGCGCCTCCCTCCGAGCAACCTCCAGCGTAGTAGCGTGCGCAGCCTGCAAGTCCGCCACCTCCGCCTCTAACGT